AATGTCCAAGGAGTCCATGGACAGGTTTCAGGGGTTGTGGGAATTTGGGAGGGGGAAAAAATCACATTCTTATTTTCACTAAGCTTGAGTTTCCTTAATAATCTTATGTGTAATCCTTATGAATTTTATTTTTTTATTTTAAAAGCATTATTCTAAGAAGTTCATAGGTTTGTTTCATCAGACTACCAAAGGGGTCTATGAGTCAACATGCATTTATTAAAAACTAGCATTTATATAGCACTTTGGGGCAGCTAGGTGGTATCATGGCGCACAAAGCATGGAGCCTGGAGTCAGGAAGGCCTGAGTTCAAATCCAACCTCAGACACTGTGTGACCCTGGGCAAGTCGCTTAGCCCTGTCTGCCTCAGTTTCCCCATCCATAAAAATAAGCTGGAGAAGGAAGTGGCACACCACTCCAGTGTCTTTGCCAAGAAAACCCCAAATGGAGACATGAAGAGTCACACACGACTGAAACAACTGAACAACAGCAACATATGGAATAGGGAATAAACCGACCTTGTTACTCGAAAAAGCACGATTAGGACCGATGGGGACGAAGGTCCAGGGAGAAGGATTTTGACTGATTATCTCCAAGTGGTGGAACACTAAGTTGCTACTGCCTTCGTTGAGGGTGAAGGGGAAAGTCTTTGTTCTACACGTGATTAAGTTCTATTCACCAGTATGCAAATTGTCACCTGAATCTGCCACTCCGGGGCTATGGGATGTTCATTGGCACAAAAATAAGTGGTGAAATAGCCTCCTTCATCAATGCTGGATGATGGTCAGTGGCCGTCGGCATGTTCCGTGGCTTTTCTGAGGTGTAGCTAGATAGAGAGAAGAGGCCCCTTTTGTTCCTTTCTATGATACTGATGTTTCAGAGAGCGAGGGTAAGCTAGCCCTCAGCCTATCCCAGGCTTTTGGGCCATGTTGCACAGGATAGATCAGCCAAAGATGAAGGCAGCAACCAACACGGGAGGTGGGGGGGAAGATGGCAGGACCCAAGCAAGCACACGCCCAAAAGCAAAACCAACTTGTATTGATACTGCTTTTCAGAACTTACTATCAGCCTGTCAGTTGTTCAGGCTGGATCTAGAGGCAAATACAGAGGCGTATCAGGGAGTTGACTGCTATACCTTCAATCTCTGTCCCCCAAATCTGGCCTTTCATGGCAGCTATGTGTAGACCTTCCCCCCTCACCACTTCCTGCCTTTGATGTGTCAGCATGGTCCCAGGCTGGTTCCACCCCACTCCCACCTGACTCAGCTATGGTGATTAGGACGTGCCCTTGGACGCATTCTAGTTAGCGGCGGTTACAATTCCATACCCACATTCATAGCCATTCCTTTCAGTCAGCAAATGTGACAAGGTGAAGGGTTTTCAATTCCTCTCCTATTGTGACCTCTTATTGGAGACCAACTCCTTTTAGAATTTCATCCCAATATGGCACCTTCCTTGAGTCTCTTTTCCTCTACTGCCTTCTTCTGTCCTATCTACTCTGGTATGCTACTATTTGCAATCATGAATTCAACAGCATTGTAGAGACTGGCAGTTACGTGGCTGGAGCAAACAATGTTTTCTTTGGCTCTTAATTGGTACCTCACCTTCTTTTAAGGCAGCTAGATGGCAAGATGCATAGAGTGCTGGGACTGGAGTTAGGAAAACCTGAGGGCAAATTCTATATCATCACTTACTAGTTGTGTGACCCTGGGCAAGTCACTTACCCTCTGCCTCAGTTTCCTCAACTGTAAAATGAGTATAATAATAGCACCTACCTCCCAGGTTGTGAGGATAAAATGAGAGAGCATATGTACAGTACTTTATAAACATTAAGACACTACATAAATTCTAGTTATTGTTGCTATTTATTATTAGCTCTGGCACAGAACCATGTTGGGTTAGAAATTCATGTCCTTTCCCCATTTTTCTCTTAACAATGAGCTTTTCCAGATGGATGAATCAGCTTTACATTTTAATGTCTTGAAGGAATCAGACAATTAATATCAATAGCGCTCTCCATTTGTCAACTGCTTTGATTAGAATGATAATGAGCCATTGGACATATCATATATTTAAAAGGAAAAGCAAGCTATAGATTCTCAGTTTGTTGGGTTTTTTTTTTTGTTCTTTTGTTCTTCTTTTTTGTACATGGAAATGCAATTTTATTTGATATTTAAGTTCAGAATTTAAAAAAAGATACAAAAAAAGATAAGAAAATGTACTCCCCCCTCTCCTTTCAAGAGGTGGAAGACTATACGTGTGGAACATTGCAAACATAATCCGATGCGTTGGTTAGTTTTCCTGAACCACTTTTCTTTCTCCTCTGTTATTATTCTTGATTATAATGGATGCTTTCTGGGTAGAGGAAGTTGGGAGGGAATGTATTTGAAAATTTTGGTGGTGTTAAAAGAAAGGAGACCAACTTTTAAAAATGCAAGTGAACAATCTATGCTCTCTTTTGTTAGGGGTCCTAGCATTTCTGTTTCCGCTTCTTATTACTTTGACTAATAATTAAGTGAGATGAGCAGCTTTCAGACACTGGAAAATGAGCCTTCAGTTGTTCCTTGCCACTGTCTTAACTGGCTGAATTTTGTTTTTGTTGTTGTTTGTGACTTAGCCCTAATCAGAAGCATTGGTGTTTGCTTTGCTATAAATTCTTTTAAAGTGTGTTAATAATAGTTCATAATAATAGTAATAGCAGGTGCCACACCAGAAGGCTTCTATGGATCATTTTGTTTGAGCCTCTTAACAACCCTGTGAGGTAACAAGATATATTGTAGGTATGGTCATCTCCATTTTACAGGTTCAGAGGAGCCTGGTCACAGTAGAGGTCAGAAGTAGCACTGTGTTGGCAAAGAGGCAGGTTTAGTTTAACAACAGGAAAAGCTTCCTGATAATTAAAGCTGCCCAAAAGCTGAATGGCTTCTTTTCCAGCTCTCCATTTCTGTGATTCTGGGTTTGAATAGGTCTGCTTGGTTCTTGACTATTGGGTAGAATATCTGTAGCTTCTCGTAAATGTCTGTCTATCAAGAGGCAGCCTGGTCTATTGGGGCTTTGGAGTCAGGAAGAGCCACACTTCTTGTGTGGCCAAGGGCACAGAATCAAGTTGGTAGCATCAGTGACACTTAATGCCCCAGGCAACTGTATAGCATAACATGAGAACATGAGGCAATTAGGCGGCAGATAGGGTATTGAACCTGGAGACAGGAAGACCTGAGTTTGAATCCTGCCTCAGACACTTACTAGCTGTGTGATAATGAGTGAGTCACTTCATCTCTGCTTCAGTTTCCTCCACTGTAAAATGGGGATAATAACAGCACCTACCTCTCAGGGTTGTTGTGAGGATCAAATGAGATAATAATTGTAGAGCACTTAGCACAGTGCCTGGTACATGGTAGGTGCTTAATAAATGTTTTGTTTCCTTCCTTCCTTCTATCTTGCATTCCTTTCTTCTTTCCTTCTTTCCATCCCCCTTTCCTTCCTTTCTTCTTTTTTTCCTTTCTAGCTTTTTTCCTTCTTTCCTCGCTACCTTCCATCCTGCTTTCCTTCCTTTCATTCTCCTTTCCTTCCTTTCTTCCTTCTTTCCTTCTTTTCTTCCTTCTTTCCTCGCTCCTTTTCTTCCTTTATTCCTCCTTTCCCTCCTTCTGTCCTTCCTTCTTTTCTTCTTTCCTTCCTTCACCAAGGAAATCATAGGTACAGACCAAAACAACATCCATAATAAAAATATCTATCTGTAATATAACACACAAACATACACATACACACTCACACGCATACACACACCACCTACCATCTACTTCACAGGGTGTTTGCAAAAATTTAATAAAATCATAGATGTAAAAACATTGTAAGATGATGTGTAAATATAAGACTTGTCATGTGTGTTTATCTATGTACGCATGGGAAGGAGAGTCAGCAACTAAGGTTAGTTTTGGGGTTTTGTTTGGTTTTTGGCAGGGAGGGCAGGATTGGCTTATGATTTTTTTGGAGGAGACAACTCCCAGTGAAGAAATTTGCTCCACTAGCACAGGGGAGCTCCTGCTTTTTCAGTTACAGCTTAGAGAATGTCCTTGGGCACTGAGAGATTAAATTCCTCACCCAGGGTCAGTTGCAAGACATGACCCCAGGTCTTTTTTGGCATTCTAATACCAGTTCTCTATCCATGATGCTTCTCAAGGTTAGTTTAATAATAACAAATTTCTAAAAACTCATTTTACATAGTGTTTTAAAGTTGATAGAGCACTTTGTTCGTAGCAACCCTGTGAGCTGGTAGTACAAGTATTGTTGTCCCTGTTTTACACATGATGAAACTGAGGCTCAGAGAGAAGCTATGGCTTTACCAGGTTCCCACAACTAGCAATCATCAGAAGCAGGATATGAACTCAGGTCTCTGGATTCCAAGGGCAGCACTCTTTCTACTCTCCCACATTGCCTTTCATTTAACCATATCATTAAAATAGTGTGTTTCAGGAATATGAACATCAATGATGCTGCCAACTTGATTCTGAAAAAGTTGAGAGATATCTATTTAAAATCAGTAATGAAGGTATGTTGTAGTGTGGTATTTCAGGCAAATATCATCCCTGGAAATGAAAATTCCTTTTTTACTTTCTGGAATTGTGATGGCAGAGAGGCTGCTTCCTCATCAATAGTTAAACTGTTTAAAAATTGGGTGACTGATGAAGAAATATTTCCCAAGACATCCAGTTTTTAGTGGTTTTATTTGGGAGCACATCTTAGTGTTGGAGTTTTGTTGTTTTTTTTTTAAGCTAGAAGAAGACAATTCCTAAAAAGCCAAGCAGTTTAATGACTGACTGAAGGTTCTTCCTCATTTGTGTGGTCATCTCTGGTTATTTGGCTCATCCCTTGCATCAGATCAGGAGAAAAGGAACACATGTGACAAAAGGTTGGAGCCTTCCCATGCAACATAAGATGGGACATGGCTAGTTTTCATCTATTAAATTACTTAATTCACTAAGTTTTTTTCCTTTCCTTATTTTTCAGAATTTGATATTTTCCTCCCACATAGAGATAACATCACAGTTTTTATAGAACGTGGGACTGTACCTCCGCCAACAAATGCCTGCAACATTATTTTCCAGAGAAGACGCTCCTTCACATTGATCATCAAACCTGGGGAAAGAGCCATCTTTAGCTTTGATTGCCCTGATCCAGCAAAGCATTATGTCCTGGAAGTCCAGAAGAGTATTGGTAAAAAAAAAATTTTATAAATATATTTTAAAGTTTCTGCATTTCCCTGCTGACTCCCTCTTTCATTCTGTGGTCCTAAATCAGAGTTGTTGATAACTTAGTGTCCACAGACTTAAGTCTGTGGATAGATTTCAGGGATCTATGAACTTGGTAGAGAAAAAAAAAATTATGGCTTTATTTTTACTAACTTTTGGTTTCTTTTATAATCCTGTGGATTTTACTTTATGCCTTTAAATAGTAACCAGAGAAGAGGTCCATACTCTTTACCAGACTTTTACAAAGGTTCACAACACAAAAATAGGTTGAGAAGCCCCGCTCTAAACCTTAGATCAGGAAGAATTCCCATGGACCTTGCTGAGAATGGTCAATGGTGGTCTTGGTGACATGTCATCTGAATCATATGACAGGACCATGCTGCATGGATGGGTTATGTGAGGAATTCAAGGTAGGCAGAAGAAAAGAGTCAGGAGAATTATAGAAAAAGTTAAGTGATTCAGCAGGCATTTAAAACCCCTCCTCCCTCCTAATTTCCTGATTATTGTCAAGGATAACACCATCCTCCCAGTCCCCCAGGCTTACAGCCTAGGAGTCCCTCTGGATTCCTCCCTTTCTCACCTGCCACATCCAAGGCCTGTTGATCTCCCCTTTGAAGCATCTCTCAAATATGTCCCTTTGTCTCCTCTGACAATGCCCCCACCCTGGTGCTGACCCTCATCACCTCACACCTAGACTACTGTAATAGCTGCTGGTAGGTCTGCCTGCCTCAAGTCTCTCTCCACTCCGATCCATCTTCCATTCAGCCACCAAAGTGATTTTCCTAGAACACAAGTCTGACTATGTCACTCTTCTAGTCAATAAACTCCACTTACTCTTAATTACCTCCAGGATCAAGTACAAAATCCTCTGCTTGGTGTTCAAAGCCCTTTGTAACCTAGCCCCCTCCTACTTTTCCAGTCTTCCTCTACTTTACTCCCCCTCATATTCTTTATTCCAGTGACACTGGCCTCCTTGAACAAGACACTCCATCTCTTAGCTCCAGGTATTTTCTCTGGCTTTCCCCCATGTCTGGAATGCTCTCCTCCTTTTCCCTGTATACTGCCTTCCCTGACTTTGAGTCCCAACTAAAATCTCGTCTACTATAAGAAGTCTTTCCTCTTAATTCTAGTGCCTTTCTCTTAACTATTTCCTATTTATCTTGTATATAGTTCCTTAATGATAGGACCAGACATCTTTGTATCCCAAGCACTTAGCACAGTGCCTTACCAAAAAATACCTATTAGTTTGTTGAGCTAAATGTTAAAATCACTGGATGAGATTCAGAAGACAGCCAGCTGTTACACATCTGAAAGTATGAATTGGTCCACCATCATGGCAGCATGAGCCTGGGGGGCTTCTTTTTATGGCTGGACTGATTGGACTAAATCCTCAGATTTAGAGTTCTTGGAAGTGATTTAAGGGTATCATGCAAAAGAAAAGGGATTTGAAATAAATAACTGAGTTCCCCTAAGCTCATGGATCATGAGAACCTCTGAGATTATTCCCCACATACTCTGTCTATATCTTTAGGTATCTTGTTACATACATGTTGTCTTCCCCATTGGAATATATTCCTTGAGGTCAGGAGCTATTTTTTTGCCTTCCTTTGTGTCTCCTGTGCTTAGCACATCCCGAGCCACTTAATGAATTGTTGTTGATTGAGTTATTGATACCATCTTTGAATGATAACTTAAGTATTATTTCAACCGTACTAGCCCCTTATTTGTTGGATAGTAGGCAACTTTGAAGTTTGTGACACTGGCAGAGGACTGATGAAGATTTGCTGAATATGACAGAATCATACGCATATTCTTGTTTCCTATTTTTGCTGCATCAGAAGTCTTTAACATTGCTTTAAGTGATGTTGGATTTTTCTCTCCTCTTAATTTAGTCCCTCTCCTGTCTAACACTTTGGTCCTTATTTAAAAAGGCTCAAGGTAGAAAGCACAATAAAGCATGTCATTAGTTGTTAACTTTTGTAACATCTAACTGCAATGGTAATAAAATAGCAGAACCAAGCATGCTGAGCAGAGAGACAGCTGGCTCCTCTTTTCATCCATAATGGAGACCCCACATGCAGCTAGATGATGCTTAGGAATTCTCTGTTGATCACAAATGGGCTTGGCACTGTCTTCTAAAAAGTTACAAAATTTAACTCGGCATGGAGTGACTAGCATAGGGAGGCAAGCATGTGCAATGGAAAGAATGTTGGATTTGAAGTCTGGTAAATGAGGACCTGGATTAGAATCCCAGTTCTGCCGCTTATTGTCTATAGGTAATTGACCCATATCATTGACCCCTATCTGGATGTGGTTAAAGTGATCTCAGGCAAGTCACTGAATCTCTCTGGGGCTCAGCTCCTCGTTTGTGAAATGAAGAGGTTGGTCTAGGTGACCACTAAGATCCCTCCTAGCTCTAAATCTAGGATACCATGACATTCCAAAAATATGTCTGCCTCATGGAAGATAAAAGCATATTAACCAAGCTCCAATAATTTCATCTGGGAATCTGTGTTGGGAGTGGGAGGGGAGGAAGAGATAAGCAGAAAGATGAAAAGCAGTGCTGAAGTCACTGTTGTAACATCAATCAGATGTGTTTACCTTGTTGTATTTTTAGATTGCATGGCAGGTCCGTGTCCTTTTGGAGAAGTACAGCTCCAGCCTTCGAGATTACCTGCCCTAAACAGGACGTTTATCTGGAATGTGAAAGCTAGCCCAAAAGTTGGCCTTGAGCTGAAGTTCTCCAGCCCTCGGCTGAGACAGATTCGTCCAGGAGACACTTGCCCAGACTTGGTTACCTATAGCATCAGTGGCTCTATTGAGAAGACAGCTGCCAACATTGGAACCTTCTGTAGCAATGGCACAATCTCACAAATCAAAATGCAAGGAGGAGTCAAGTTGGCCTTACACTTACCATGGAATCAAAATAGAAACTTTTCCGGTTTTAATATTACAAACCGGTCTTCTATAAAACGTAAGCATGCTATTAAATTCCTATTGTCTTATTGTGAGATTAGGTGTCATTATGATATTCCTTATTATATAAAAATGCTATGTCAATGCCATTTTTTCTTAAGTGTCGGTTACCAGTTTTTTCTTTATACATTTGTTTGTTTGCTTGAATGAAATGAGGGCCAGCAACCTCATATTTTTTCAGTCGTGTCCGAACTCTCTGTGACTCCATTTAGGGTTTTCTTGGCAAAAAACCACTAGAGCAGTTTGTCATTTCATTCTGCAGCTCATTTTACAGATGAAGAAACTGAGGCAAAGAGAGTTAAGTGACTTGCCTAGAATCACACAGCTAGTGTCTGAGGCCAGATGTCAACTCAGGAAGATGAATCTGCCTGACTTCAGGCCTAGTGCTCTATGCACTATGCCACCTAGCTGCCCCTAAACTCATATATATACCAAACAATTAACAAAATGCACTAGAGATCTGAGAAGGTGAATGGACCTTGTAGATATCACTGAGGTTTGATGGGATGAGGCCAATAAGTAAATCATGAGGATGAGCCCAGCCTAGAAAAGAGACAGCTTGGGGAGCTGTAATTCTTGTCTTCCAAGTATTTCAAAGGCTGTCATTTGAAAAAAAAAGTTTCAATTCCACTTGGCCTGAGAAGGCAGAACCAGGAGCAGGGGAATAGAAATTGCAATGGGCCTAGAATCAGGAAGACCTGAATTCAAATCCAGCCTCAGACACATACTAGTTGTGTGACCCTGGGCAAGTCACTTAACCTCTATTTGCCTTAATCCACCGGAGAAGGAAATGGTATCTTTGCCAAGAAAACTCCACACAGAGTCACAAAGAGTTAGACATGACTGAACAACAACAACAACAAATTAAGGTTTGGTATCAGGGGAAAACTCCTAACAATCGATGCTGTCCAAAAGCCTGGCGAGGCTCCTTTTCAACGGAGTTCTTCAAGGAAAGGCCAGATGATCATTTATTGATTATGCTTGTCATAGGACCATTTGTCAGGTATGTTTTAAGGGAATTTTTGTTTGAGTATGGGTTGGACTGGATCAGTGGTGTCAAACAAATAGAAACAAGGTCTACTAATCAGAACATGAACATCCCTGGGGGCTAAATACTGACCTAGTTTCCAAATGTAATATTATCTATGTTTTATTGTATTTTTTTATTTTGATAAATATTTCCCAATTACATCTTAATCTGGTTTGGGCCACACTCAGGAGTGTTGTGAACAGCATCCAGCCCATAGACTTTACGTAGGATACCTCTGGGCTTGATGGTCCCTTCCAAACTCTGAAATTCTGGGTTGTGGTTTGCTTTCTTTACCTTTGTTTTTACCTATCCAGTCCTTTATATTTCCCTTCTCTGAATTCCCATTATTCTTTTTTTTTTCAAGGCAATTGCGGTTAAGTGACTTGCCCAGGGTCACACAGCTAGTAAATGTCAAGCGTTTGGTCTGAGGCCGGGTTTGAACTCAGGTCCTCCTGACTTCAGGGCCAGTGCTCTTTCCACCATGCCACTTAGCTGCCCCCATTATTGTAATAGATAGAATTTATCTCCATCCAGCATGAACATGCCATAGTCAAATATGCTATTTATGACCAACCAGGATATTGGACTCACATTACCTGGTTTTCGTCTCCATGACCATGAATAATAGGGATATATGGGGGTAGTATGTTTTCATGACCTCCCGATTCATTTTGATTTGCTCCATCCTCCCAATAGGACTCTGCATCATTGAATCCGTGTTTGAAAAAGAGGGCTCAGCAACCCTGATGTCTGCCAACTACCCCGAGGGGTTCCCAGAAGATGAGCTCATGTCATGGCAATTTGTCATCCCCCCTTACCTCCGAGCCAGTGTATCTTTCCTCAACTACACCCTCTCCAACTGTGAGAGGAAGGAGGAAAGGGTTGAGTACTATATCCCAGGATCACTCACTAATCCAGAGGTGTTTCAACTTGGAGATAAGCAGCCTGCTAACATGGCTGGAAACTTCAACCTGTCTTTGCAAGGCTGTGATCAGGATTCCCAAAACCCTGGAGCCCTCCGACTGCTCTTTCAAGTTTTGGTTCAGCACCCTCAGAATGAAGGCAGTAAGTAAAACTCAATTCGCTGATTTCTTTCTCATCCTTCTCTAAGTCTCTTGCTCAACAAGGGGTGATGTGTAAGAAGAGCAGCTGGGAGCTCTCTTTTCCTAACTTATCTTGGGTACAGTGAGACTGAAATGATGCAGAAGCATGGGTGTGTTTCTCCTTTCATGGCCATTCAAAACAATCTTGGACTCTGGACCCTTCAAGGGTTTCGGGAAATAGGTTGCTGGAGACATGAACAGTCCCTTGCTGCAATAACATAAGTAACCCAGTTGGCATCTGAGGTAGAACTCCAGGATTGGGTAATGGAAACTGCTTTGAGTGGTTCTGAATTCATCATCTTCCTCCTCTGAAATGAGGGGGTCAGAAAGATGATTTTTAGGGCCTCTTCCAGCTCTAATCATTTCTAAGTTCTGGCAGGGACTTGCTTCAAGATTCCAGAGAAATTAGCTTATAGATTTAGTTTCTTCAGCACTAAGAAGGGAATTGGATTGGCCCTTTATGCCCAGGGTGTGCCCAGTGAGATGGAAGGTACTAAATCAATCCAAGGAGCAAATCACAGCACTGAGAAAGCTAGTGTCTGAAGGGTCAGTTGTGTTGAGCAGCCTTGTAAATAACCACTTGCCCAGGGTGAAGAATGATTTGTCCTGGATGCTGGATCGCTGAAGAATGATGAGACTATTTATTTTACTTCTGGTGTATTTCCTTAGAGGCAAGGGAGCAAGTTTTAAAATATACAGATGGGATGGTGGGGTGGCATGTGTCCAAAGAGAATGTGAAAACCACATGGCTATTTGCACAGCAAGTGTCAACCAGGAAACATAATTTCCGTGGATCTTTGGATCCCAAGGGAGAAGTATTTGTTCAACACTTCGGGCCTTAAGAATTTGATGGGTCTTCAAACTCCAAGAAACTGATGTGGCTACAGGGGAACTTGTCAGTGTTTCAGCAGACATCTTAAGAAGTGGAACCTCGGTTTCTCTGGTGTCTTGACCTGAACTGGTGCCAGTAATAGGTTAGCAGAAGACATCTCCCCCTCCAGTTATTCCTTTCAGGCTTGAATTTTTTTTCAGTTGGTCACATACAGATTTTCACAAGATCTTTTCTATTTTGTGTTGACAGTTCTGTAAGCAAAATGCTAAATTGAAAACAGATGTGAAAGGGTTTGGGGGAGGATATGAATTTAGATTTTTGATTTGTTTATCATAGTTATGCTGAAAGTCTGCTGAAGAGGTCTTCCAAGTTTCTCTACACCCTTCAAAATCTTTAAACCTATGCTTTCTGTCTAAAATGGATCCAATTGCTAAATAGGATATTTATCTTTTTCTTGGTCTGGACCAAGAACTCTCAGTGTGTGGAACTCCCTCCACTGATATAACTGGGCACCTCCTCTGCCGCTTAAGAGTGTTAGAGAGAAGCCTGGGAGCACTGAAAGGTTAGGTTGCTTGCCCAGGGTCACACAGCCAGTATGTGTCAAATTTAGGCTCGGGTCTTCCTGCAAGGCTGCCTCTCGATCTACTGGGCTGTGCGGCTTCTCTGCGTTGCAGCTAACATCAAATGTAGGTTTCATTTCGATCCAAACACGGAACAGTTAAATGAACTTTAGGGGTCATTTAATTAACACAGAATTCTGCTTGTAGCGAGGTGGATGGAGTCCTAAGCCTGGAGTCAGGAAGGCTTGAGTACAAATCCAGCCTTAGACGGTTGGATGACCCTGGGCAAATCATTTAACCTGTTTGCCTCAGTTTTCTCAATTTTAAAATGGGAATAAGAGTACCTACCTCACAGAATTGTTATGAGTGTCAAATGAGGTAATATTTGTAAGGCATTTAGCACCATGCCTGGCACATAGTAGGTGCTTAATAAATGCCTGTTCACCTCTTCCCTTCCTACATCAAGGGGTATAGAATAGCTTTTATTCTGAGAGATTTTTCTTTCTGACTCTGAGGGAGAGACATGGGGTTCTTAACTTTTGGGGGTCATGGATCTTTTGGCAACGTCTGGTGAAGCTGATAGACAAATGTTTTAAAATGTATAAAATACATAGGATTACAAAAGAAACCAGTCACATTGTGATGTTGTTGTTCAGGTTTTTTCCAGTCATATCTGACTCTCTGTGACCCCATCTGGAGTTTTCTTGGCACAGATACTGGAACGGTTTGCCGTTTCCTTCTCCAGCTCATTTTACAGATGAGGAAACTGAGGCAAACAGGGTTAAGTGACTTGCCCAGGGCCTGAGTTCAAATCCTGCCTCAGGTAGTAAGTGCCTGAGGCAGGATTTGAACTCAGGCCTTCCTGACTTCAGGCCTGGTGCTCTATCCACTATGCCACCTAGCGGCCCATATTGAAATGCATGTAGCAATGCAGCTATCTATTTTTTCAAGTTCATAGACCTTAGGTTAAGAACCCTTGAGACAGACAAACTGATATCTCTGTTTCCCAAGGATTCCCATTTCTATCCTTCTGTCCCAGGCTGTACTGTGTCCCAAGAACCGCCCCCTCTCCCATTCCAGACTGGAAGAATGGCTGAAAAAAAAAATGCAATCCTGTGTGAATCAGCAAACATTTATTAAGCCTCTATTGGGTGCTGGGAAGGATACAGAATTTAGATTAGACATAGTCCCAATGCTGAAGGAGCTTACAGTCTGGTAGGGAGATGAGACTCTCCCAGGTAGCCGTGCTAATCAGAATTTATGTGATAAGGAAGAAAAAGAGTTGTGAGGGGGAGTCCTTGCCAGCCCAGCTGAGCAAGGACGGCTTCTGGTGGGAGTGCATTTTGGTGTGACCTTTAACAGAGCAACAAATCAGTGTTCAACAGGTAAAGATGGGGAGGCATGAGGAGAAGGCACAGGGGCATGCGTGGGAGCAACGAGTAAAGTATGTGCCTAAAAGGGAGCGTCTCAAGTGAGATAATTTATGCAAAGAACATTGTAAACCTTAAAGTGCTATACTAATGCTAGCTGCTGCTACTGCTGCTCCTGTTACTACTACCACTACCGCTACCACCACCACCACCACTACTACTACCACTGCTGCTGGGGCTACTACTGCTACTGTTACTACTACCACTACCACCACCACCACCACCACTACTACCACCAGTAACACAGCTACTACCACTACCACCACCACTACTACTGCTGCTGCTTCTGCTATTGCTACTACTGCCAACTACTATCATCATAACTACTACTACCACTACTACTACCATCACTACCACTTCTACTCTATCACCACTACTACTACCACTACTACTACCATCACTACCACTTCTACTCTATCACCACTACTACTACCACCACTATCACTACTACTACCACTACCACTACTACTACTATCACTACTACTATTACTACTACTGCTACTACTACCACTACACCAAGTGGTATAGAGAGGTTGTGTCAAACTCAAATAGAAACAGGAACCACTAACGGTACACAAAGATCCCTTCGGGCTACCTATTGACTTAGAAAATCACATGTTAATGTTATCTGTGTTCTAGCATATTTTTATTTATTTTGTTAAATATTTCTCAATTACATTTTATTTTGGAAAGTATTGTAGCCCAAGGATGATTATTTGACACTTCTAGTGCAGAGGACAGAGCGCTTCACTTGGAGTCAAGGACACCTGAGTTCAACTCCCAAATAAATTGCTTACTAGCTGTGTGACAGAAACTAATGCGCAGGTGATACCAGAGTCATTATAGTGTTACTGCCTTCTGTTAGTCCAGGTGGATCAGGTTCTTTTAGGGAAAGCCAAAATGCACAAAGGCCATCAGGCCATCCTACCTCCTAGAACATATTTAAGCTGGAAAGATGGCATGGCACCAGGGTGGAGGGCCTTGAATGCCATTCAGTTGGGCTCATCTTTCATTTTTCTCCCCTTCTCTCATCACTGAGATATATATATACCTATATATATACCTAAAGCTGTCTAAAGTGTGCTTGGGTAATGTTCAGGGCTCCATTTTATCTTTGTCATCCCACCTTTCAAAACAAGTCATGCTGTTGTTAAATGCCCCATAATGCATTCTGCTCCACTGAAAGCAACCTCAGATAGCCAGCTTCATGCCTGGGGACTCTGAGGCAATCACAGAACAATCACTTTTGTCAGTGCTGAGGTTTACACCTCTCTCATTGCATCTTAGAAGCATTCCAGTTCCATACAACCTAGTTTTCTCCCTGTACAATGCAATTTCAAAACTGTTCAGAGGGTCTCGCCTTATTATGTGATGTAATTAGCTCTGAGAGCTCAGAGGTGGTTTGGGTTTTTATATTCTATGCTTTAATATTTTATTCTTTAGAGGAGTGTTCTGGTGCAGTGAATAGAGCTCTGGCCTTGGAATCAGGAGGATCCGAGTTCAAATGTGTTTGCAGACACTTGACACTTACTAGCTATATGACCCTGGGCAAGTCACTTAACCCCAATTGCCTCTCCAAAAAGCAAAAATGAATGAATGAATGAATGAATAAAAATAGAAGGGTGTTCTAACACATGCTCCACTGAGGCAGCATGCCATCATAGACAGAGCTGGATTTGGGGACCAGAAGACCTGGTTTCAAACCCTGCCTCTGACACAAAGCAGTTGTGTGATTCTGGGCAAATCATTTAATTTCTTAGTGCCCCAGGCAACCTCTCTAAGACTGTAAGTCAGGCTTGCACGATATATGGCCTGAGTGCCGCTTTTACCCTGACAAAGAATTTCCAGTGGCCCACGAAAAATATAGGGTTGCCATTGCTTTAGTCTCCTGTTTGTCACATGACCTGCAGCAACCAACCATCATCAATCTGTCTGTAGTCTAACGTATCTGCAGCCCAGAGAAGTTTAGCCTATTTTAATTTTGGCTGCCTACTGCCAAGTTGTGCAGGTCTGCTGTAAGTTATAGATGAGTTGCTGATCTGTATTGGTGGAGGGAGTTCCCATTACCAGAAATCCTCCATATTGATGAACTAACAGGCCCAGCCCTCCTTTGCCTAGTCTTTGGGGAGAAAAAACACTG